TTGCCTTATTGCTCTGGCTAGGACTTCCAAAATAAAATTGAATAGGAATGATGATAAAGGGCATCCTTGTCTAGTTCTGTTCACAAGAGAAATGTGTTAAGTCTCTCTATGTTGATAATGGGAACTCTGGTGGCATAGTACCTAAAGCATTTGACTGCTAACCAGAACACTGGAGGTTCAAACCCATGAGCCACTCCTCAAAAGGAAAACTGGGCAATCTACTTCAGTAGAGAAACCACCTTGGAAAACCAAGGAGGGGTCACTATGAATCAGGATCAACTCAATGGCAGTCAGTTTGTTTTGGTTTTATGTTGATAATAATGTTGACCATTGGTTGTGTATAAATGCCCTTAATGTGAATGCTACAACCACTTTGGAAGATGGTATAGTATTTCCTTCAGAAGTTGGAACTAGAAATATTATATGATCCATCAATCCCACTACTAGGTACATATCCAAAAGAAACAAGAAGCAAGATATTAATAGATATATGTACACTCATATTCATTGCAGAATTGCTTACAATAGGAAAAAGATGGAAACAGCTTCTGTGTCTGTCAACAGATGAATAGATAAACACATTATGGTACATACACCCAATGAAATAATAGGCAATATTAAAGAATAAATCTCTGAATCACCTCATAACATGGATAAACCTAGAAGAAATTATGCCAAATTAAATGAGTCAATCACAAAAGGAAAACTATTGTATAAGAATAACACAGTAAAAAGTCAATAAAAGGTTTACATATAAAAATAATCATTCTTTGAAGGTTACCAGGGGTAGGAAGGTAAATTACTAAGTAGAGGGTAAAAAAAAAAAAGTAAGGGGTAGATACACATTAACGGGTGAAGGAAAAGACAGTGTATTATAATTGGGAGTTCAGCACAAAATGATGAAGACAGTGAAATACAGGGAGGAACTTAAGAGGAAAAGGCCACAAAGATAAATACTATTACATACACAATCCTACAATAACATGAATGATAGTAATCTCTGTGTGAATACATAGATGCACACTGAAGCTGAACAAGGGAAGGAAACTGACTGGGACTACACCCATAGATATACAGAGGTTTGACAGAAGATATTTCTACCTATGTATTTGTATGTATTGAAAATACATCCATGAATGTAATAGAGCATATGGGGAAAAAGTTATTAAAACTTTTGTTAATACCTAAAAACCTTGAGGGGATGAGTTACTGGGCCTGGGGATTCAGCACTGTAGTCTTGGGGAACTCTAAGCTCAAATGGTGTAACAGTCCACAAGGACAGCATACTACATCCATTTTGGTGAGTAGTGACGTACTACTTGTAAAAGCTGTTGTTGTTACATGCCGTCGAGTCGGACCCGACTGATAGCAGCCCCACCTTGGGTTTCCGAGGCAGTATCACTATGGAAGTAGGATTGCCTAACCTTCCTTCTGAGGAGTGGCTGGTGGGTTTGAACCGCCAGCCTTCTGGTTAGCAGTCAAGTGCCTTAGGCACTATGCTACCAGAGCTCCATCTAAGGTGCAACTATTGTTTTTTGCCCTTCTGGAAGAAAGAAGATTGAAGAAAATCGAAAACACAAAAAAGAAATCAATTCTAAGGATCGATAATGTGAATCCCAGCCTCCACAACACTGAGAACACAAGAACTAGGTGATGCACAAATTCTCCTGCCAACTTCTCTGAAGGAAATCATAATAGCAGGTCACAAATAGAGTGGGAGGAAAATGTATTTATATGTGGAATGCATTAAATGTGGAACAAAACTCAAAATCATAAAAAAAAAAAAAGACACTGGGCTTAATGGTGTGATGAAGACTTATGGAACCCCTAAGTCTATTGCCCTTAGAGAGACCCTTCAAGTCAGAAATTGAAATTCAATTTTATTTTATTTTATTTGTCTCTTCCTGTTCTGGAATTCTGATTATACGTAGGCCATTCCTTTTGATGGTATCCCAC